CCCTCCCTTCATCTCTCTCTCTCTCCCTTCCTCTCTTCCTCTCTCCCTTCCTATCTCCCTCTCCCTCTCCCTACCTTCTATGTTAACAAAAATAGACTTTATGTATCAGTCAGTATAGACTAGAGAAGCAGATCTTACACAAGATATGCAAATGTGTAAGAAATTACAAGCCTGGCTTACGATGGTCGCCCTCAGAGTCAGATGAGGCAGCGAGCAGAGGGCGCCTGCACACTGGAGCCTGAAGGGGTCAGCCCAGGGTCTGGAGCTCGCTGCAGTGTCGCGCTCAAGTTGGTATCAGGAGGCTGCTGGGTCTGCAGTGGGAGGCTGCTGGGTCTGCTGGAAGCCAGGAGATGACGTCCGAGGTGAAGGCAAAGACTGGAACTCCTCGAAGAAGCAGGAGCAGACCTGTCCTTCCTTGTTTCCCCTTCGTGCCGTCCAGGCAGTGAGCGCCGCAGGGTGGATCTTCTCAAGTTGACACAATCAATCAACCACCACAGTGACAAATATGGGAACGGGTCAGTCATCCCTATAGCATTTCAACATCAGTGAGGGCCTCTGCTGGCTCTGTAGAGCACTGTGTTCCAGGCTGTCCACGACCTGGTTCCAGGTTAACTCTCCAGACAGCTGTAAGTTTCTTATGAGGTTGCTAATCCTTAGCTTCAGCTACTGCAGCGGAAGGAGTAAGCGATGAAAATTCTAACCAACATCCACAGTATCTAAACAGCCATCCATCTCTTCTTTTCTCCTTGTTCAGGGGATGCATGCAGCCTTTGGCGTTCTCCTATCTGCTGTGATGTGCATGTGGGGCGTGCTCCAATCACGAGATCCTGATTCTGAAAGGATCTATAGCCTCAGCATCTTTTCTTCACTGAGGTCTTCCTTAGGAAATCATTTATACCCAAGTCTTCCTCGATTAGCTGACTTTGTCAAAGTGGTTGTCATTCCTTTCTTATTCTAAATGGCTTATAAACTCACCATAGCTGTCTCCCATGTTTTTGTTGTTGTTGTTTAAGAAAATAAAGATTTAAAATAAAAGACAAGGCTCACATCCTTGGCATCTGGTAACATGTCTTTAAGAACTTCTGCTTCTTGGTAAATCTTCATTAAGACTCTGATTAGTCTGCTGAGTTTTTCTGGGCCCTTCGGCTGTCTTCTGAGAAGCACAAAACATCCACCCGCAGAGATAGCCATTCCTGAAACGTTTCCTGCAAGCCAACTACTCCATTATTCTACTTGCAAAGTGGGGTAGTTAGTTACTCATTTACTCAGATACTCTCCTCTGGCTCTGCCCTTTGAAATGTCTCCTGAAGCTTCAGCATCCCTCTCCCATAGCTGCTTCTAATCAGATCTCCAACACCTCCTTTTGGTCCACAGCTCCCAACCCACTTGGTGGCCTGAATCCCTGTGAGAGCCTGGTAAAGCCCTTGCATTCAATAAAAATGCAAGATTACGTTGAAATACATTAAAATACTTTAAATCTATAATGTATTAATTCATGTGCCTCCTTAGTATCAATACACTGAATAAGATATAACAATAGTTCTAATAATACCCTCACTTTGAAGTATTGATGAGCATAAATAATATATCTGCAATATTTATAACTACAAAAAGAACTCTAACTTGTCATGGTAACTACATCATGACCTTAATATCTCTGTAGTTTGTTACCCAATAGATACATTTCATTTAGCAGTTAGTGAAAATAAAACT